TATATTAGTGTGGCGTTAATGCAATATTAATATGTGTATGTACATATATTAGCTCAGGCGCTAAAGCTATATGATCATATATGTAAGTATTGACTTGGGTACTGATGCTATCATCACCATATATTAACCTGAATGCTAATGCTATGTCGCCATGTATATTTKTATTAGCTTAGGCGCTAACACTATATGTATTAACTTGGCACTAATGCTATATCATCCTATAAACAGTACATATATATCAGCTCGAGCTCTGAAAGCTAAAAGGCTAAAGGTGAGAGGAAGCAGCTCTGTTGTCCTCTATCTTCATTTTCAGTTTCAGSCTGAGTCATTTCTACATTCTCCTGTCTGTCAACGCTCTCTGCTTTCATTTTCTTTCTGATGGTTAAATAGCTTTTGCCCAAGATTAAACTTCAGGGACCACAGAGCTCGGTCTCAGCATTGCACCGAGGAGGCCTAGTAAATGTCATCATTGACCTGGAATGCTTTGAGACGTAAATAATATGGCGCCAATTTATGTTTTTAAATAAATAAAAAAACTGAATGCCTACAGKATTTTCAGTCTTTGTGTTACAGTTGAAGTAAATGTTTATCAAATAATATCTAATGTTAGAACTAGTCACAGGGTTCCCTTTAAAGTCGTCCGTGCTGATCTGTTCCAGGCGTTTGATGAGCCTGAAGGAGGATAAAACCACAGGACGGTGGAAGTATACTGAGATCTGCATGGGGATGGGGCGGACCTGCGCCTTTCCTGGACTCATCAACAGCTACCATCAGTACATCATCTCCTTCGCCGAGGATGAAGCAGGTAATAAATCAGCAGCTCAGGGCTCTATTCCACAGTTTACAGGAATTAAATGTTTATTTTTTCTGCAGGTGAGCTGTACTTCATGTCCACAGGAATACCAAGCGCCACGTCTCCTTCGGGAGTTGTTTATAAAGTGGTGGATCCGTCAAGGTGAGCCCAGATTAAAACAGCACAGAATGTACCAGGAACAGTTTTACTTTCTGGAAAATCTATCGCACGGGACGCACCATCTGTTTATAATCAGAAACACGCTCCGGGCTCAGGGGATGTGCAACAACGCAATCTTTCTTGGCTCGTTTGTGAAGCCTGTCAGTTTCGGGCGGGAACTCGGCGTTTTATTTTAGCAGAAACTGAAGACTTGACAGGTTTTATCGAAGACAAATGAGGAAGTGTTGGCAGCTCTGCGACAGGCCTTCAGCTCTGGGCTCGGTCTGTGTTTCGTTCAGCTGCAGATGATTGCGAAAGCTGATCCGTTCTCCTGACACCGACCAGCAGCAGATCTACTCTTAATGTCTCCTGACAGACTTTATGTTTGTCCGAGTCGGCCATGTTTGTTTTTTATTTACCTGCACTGACTATACCAGCCTTAAAGTGCCTGTGACATAAAATTTATGAATTAACATGAATGCATTTTTTGGAATAACACTGATAACATATTGCAAAAGAAATTTCACGCCGCTGAAATGAATAGKTGTTGAGGTATTTGCAAATACAGTAACAGGAAGTGATGYCAAAGGGGAATGTCTGCATTAAAACAGAGCGTTGCTACAACAGCCGATAACACAGATTGTAGAAAATAATCTAATGTTTCATCAGATTATTTTAAATCACTATCAGAGATGAAGAAGAGTAAGAATTCAAATAATGTCGCTTCAATGTACAAAGGTCAGAGAGTTCCCCTTTGATGTCACTTCCTGTTTCATTTTGGCTGAGCCAAATTCAAAAGAAAATATGCCAGGTATGTGACAATTTTTTGTTTTGTTTTGTATCTGAAGGACAACACACTTTACTGTGGGTTTAAGTTTAAGTTTAGGTTTGATTTTATAGTTTGCAAAAAAGTGCGTTTAAATGATCTGTTCCTTTTTCAGACGTGCTCCACCGAGACGGTGCCACTACGATCCACTTCCTGTCAGAGTCAAAAGTAATATCATCAAGTTTGTTCCCAAAGAAAGTGAGTCCGAAAAACACTTTTTTGTTAAATCTGCCACTTCTTTTGTGTTTTTATTTTTTTACTTTGTTGCTGTATTTTTTCCTCTTTAGCTTCAGTTGGTCTGGAGCTGCCCGAGCCAGAGCCCACGAAGACCTACGACTGGCTCCTGGAGGTCCTCGATCGCCTCGGCGGAGCGGCGGCGTCCCCGAGCACCACCGCCCCGATCCGACCCACCGCCAAACCGTCCCAATCGTCACGGCGGAAAGGCCAACGCCAAAGGGCGAATCCCAGAGCGAACGCGGCGCCCGAGCTGCAGAACGGAGCGGTGAGGCTGGCCGGGGACGAGCACGGGCGCAGCGACCGTGGACGGGTGGAGATCTACGTCAACGGGCAGTGGGGCACCGTGTGTGACGACTTGTGGTCGGCGCACAACGCCAGGGTGGTTTGTCGGCAGCTGGGGTTCCATTCTGCCCTGAAGGCCGCCCGGAGCTCTGAGTTTGGCGAAGGGAAGGGGCTGCCGATTCTCCTGGACGATGTTCAGTGCACAGGGACGGAGCCCGACCTTCTGAGCTGCTCGCATGCCGGAGTGGGGAAGCACAACTGTGGCCACAGCGAAGACGCCGGGGTGATCTGTGGGAACCCGCACCCTGTTGTTTAAGCTTAATGAAAGATAATCATTAAGAACAAATGTTTCCTGACAAATCATTCTACAATTAACCCAACATCTCTGAAAAAATAAATCTCTCATTGTTATGAATGAACAAGAAGCCACGTTTACCTTCAGAAATATGGACTAAAACTGCTGTATTTGTGTTTTAAGCTGCTACAACGAAGTATTTTTAATTCAAATTACAGCAGAAAGATTTTCTCAAGGCTCAGTATTAAGTTATAATTCAGATTGATTGTAATCAATCTTTTAAAAACCCACCATGAATGGAAAAAAAGCTTTTTTAAATATAAATAGAGACATTTAAAGTTTTTATATAATGAGTAAAGGTTTTTGAACCGCTGAGTTGTGCCATAAAAAGCACTTTCTATTGCACTTTTAATTTCAAACAAACTGTTTAAAACAGATTTATCATGTGAACTTAATTTTATTGTTTTTTAGTCCTTCTTGATTTAAAAAAAATGTTTTTTCTCATATTGTAAATGACTGTTAATAATTTGATAAATGAGTAAAAACAACTCTTGACATCCAGTTATTATTTCCAGATGAGAATAAAAAAAAATGTGTCCGCCATATTGGATGTGGCGGATCTGTCTGTAAACCAGTCCATGAAAATGGACTGAATTTGATAAAAGTTTTGTTCTGTAACGTGTTTTGAGTTAATGCCTCTCACTCATTCACCTATTTACATACTGATATATTTATGAAACAAAAAAATAACAAAAGCAATGTTTATAACTTTTAGTGTTTATTACAAATGTTTGCTGAAATATTTAGGTGTTTATCTAAGCACCAAAACTATATATATATATAT